CTTGCTTCGATGCTCCTCCGACTCGATTCGATGCTCAATGTGGATGGCCTGCGGCTCCTGTTCGATTCGGCCCCGGATTCCGACCTTGCATGCCGATTTTTCTCAATGGGGCTCTGCTGCTCCGCCGAATTTTGCCTCCGATTCGACTCTCCTCCCGACTCGGCTGCCGATTTCCCCGCCGATCCGGTTCACGTCGATCGCCGATACGACTTGTTGATTCGATTCCGGGCCCTCCTGGCCATGCCATCACCGCTCCTTCCGAGATGATCTTAGCATCGGGCAAGTGGGAGCGGGCAGCTCTTCCAGGGAGAATCGTACGTCCGCCTCACTTCCCCCCATCCTTGCGCCGTCCTCGACTCCCAAGCTTGTCCAAGTTCTCGAGAAGCGGGTCGGAACGGCGAACGCGGGGAACTTTCAGAAACGCGAAAACATCGCAAAAGAGGGGACGGCGCATGGATGACGTATGCTTGCGCTGTCGTGAGGAGGGGGGAGGAGGGGGAGGACGAGGGGAACAGAAGGAGGAGGAGGCAGAATAAGAAGAAACTTTATAATACTACTAACGCTAATAATCATATGGTGAATAATACGTATCATACGAAGAATAACCATAATACTAATAGTATGATTAATAAGACAAGCACTACTACTACGTATAAAATGAGTTAGAAGACGAATAATGGCACGGAGACGACTACAAACAAAACTACTACTAATACGAATTAAGAACATTGTTAGTACCACTACATAACACGACAATTGATAGTAGTACGACTAATAATCACAAAACACATGATACTAATAATCAAACTAATACTACTGCTAACAGCAAGAAGGAGACGACTAAGACGAAGAGGAGGAGGAGCAGGAGGAGGAGGGGGAGGAGGAGGAGGAGGAGGAGGAGGGGTGGAGGGGGAGGAGGATGAGGAGGAGGAGGAGGAGAAGAAGGAGGAGGTGGAGGAGGAAGGAGCAACAGCAGCAGCAGCAGCGGCAGCAGCAGCAGCACCAGCAGCAGCAGCATGACAAAAAGGCAGGGAGCGGATGCAGAAGGAGCGGAATTCGTGGAATCGGAAGCTGTGGCTTTTCAATATGATAATCTTGGCATCGCTCGGACGTGTGTATTTTCCCTCAGCGAGGACCATCGAGGAGCATGTTGGGTCATCTTGGGAAACACAAGCGCGCGAAATCGACAGATGCACAGGGAATCGACGTCCGAGCGATGGCGATGAATTGTGCACCGCTCAGTATTCTCTGTAGCGCATTTACCATATTACATTCCATTGTGTCGTTCGGGGCACGGTGACGGAGTTCTGCAATTCAGCGAGCCAGCAGAAGAAGTGACGAGGATGCGTCAGCAAGGCGTTCCCTGACATCGTTTCCTTCATCCTCACGGCAGCGCGAGTCAATGTTTTGTCGTCCTCCTCGTTCTCCCCGTCTTCAATCTGACCGTTCTCCTCATTATCCTCGTCCTTGCCATCCCATCACCATGCTCCGCCTCCTCATCCCCCCGCTCTTCCGTTCCCTCTTATTGCGAAGGCCTTACGGCCGGTGCCGCCGACCTTGCAGACGGAGACGACGAGCAGGACAAGGACGTTGAGGAGCAGGAGGCGGAGGAAGTCAGGGAGCAGGAGGGGGTGGAGGAGGGGGAGGAGGAGGAGGAGGAGGAGGAGGAGGAGGAGGAGGAGGAGGAGGAGGAGGAGGAGGGGGGGGAGGAGGAGGAGGAGGAGGAGGAGGAGGAGGAGGAGGAGGAGGGAGGAGGAGGAGGAGGAGGAGGAGGAGGAGGAGGAGTTGGGGAGGGGGGAAATCGAGCAGGACGAGGCGGGCAGGGCCGCATGGTGCAGGAGTGGTCCTGGGGTCCTGGGGCCTGGGGTCTGGGAGTCCTGGGCTTTTTGGGGGGGCTGGTTCCTGGTGCTGGGTCCTGGGAGGAGGTCCTCGGGGCTGGGTCCTGGAGGGTCCCAGGGACCGGAATTCTGGGTCCTGGGGTGTCCCGTGGCCGAACGTCCAGGAGGCCGGTTCGGTTCTGGAGGGGGACGGATGAAAGAGGACAGATGAGGATGGAGGGAGGAGGTGGGAGGGAGGAGAGGGCGTGGTAGAATGCTTTGGCTCTTGGCTCGTCTGAGGCTTTGTGTGGGCCCCGGGACCCCCATGGGGGGAGTCGTATCTGACGCGGGACCCCCCCCGGGACCCCCCGAGTCATATTTTACGCGGGACCCCCCCAGGACCCCCCCGGCAGGGAGGGTATCAAAGGGACGGGGCATCCTTTCGACTCAATGACAACGTTGCTCTTGATGGGGGAGGCCCTGGAAAAGCAGGGGGGGGAGCGGCGACAGGCCCAGGGAAGAGGGGGAAAGGGGAGGAGGGGAGACGGGCCCAGGGAAAGGGGGAGCGCAGGGACAGGAGACGACTGGCCCAGGGAAAGGGTGTGCGCAGGGACAGGGGACGACGGAGACGACGACGAACGAACGATGGGAACGGACAAGCCCCTCACACACGCCGACACAGG